TTTTCTCTCTCACATTGGTTAAGTCTCCAGATGTGGAATACTGACTCTCTCCTGTGTACATCTACCCTGGGTTGTTTCCCTTAGGACACCCAGGCTGACTGTGTCGTCTAATGGTGTGCACTCATTACAAGCAGCGGTCTTTCTGTCAGCCCAGCTGGTCTGATAAACTAAGTCGGTGATTCCCAACCTGTGGCTCTCAGTCCCTTTGGCAAAACTCTTGTGTCCAAAACTATTTACATTATGATTCATAACATTAGCAAAACTACAGCTATGTGATAGCAACAGAAATAATTTTCTGGTTGGGCCACCAGAACCTGAGGAACTGTATTAAAGGGCCACAGCATTAGGAAGGTTGAGAACCACTGAACTAAGTGCTTAGCCGGTTATAGTCTAGATCCATGCCACTTAATGTTAGGCTGGCAGAGGCTATGGGCTATTTTGGTGTTGTGATAATAGACAGCAGCAGAGTAGTTAGCATTGCATTAGTAATAGTTGTTGTGGGGGGGTATCTTGAATTGTTAGTTTTCAAGACATTGCATCACAAGATGTATGTGAGAACAAATGGAAAACAAAGCAAGCACCTGTTAGCAATATTTGGCCTCTAATATATAATTATGGTAATCTGAGTAAAGCTCAGATAAGAGGCATCATTAATGAAATGGTTAGCAATTATTAAGAATGCTAGATATGCTTGAAATTAAGTTTGTTTTTCGGATCTTGCAATATTAGGAAGAGGCTATTTACATTTTATTGTGAAAAATAATATTAGGATACTATAAGGTAAAGTACAATGAAAATGTAATAATGATGACTGCATTTTAAATCCTTTTCATTGAATTTTTATGGTGACATTATTATGAATGGTAAGAGATAGTAACATATTATTTAAGTATTGGTGGTGGACATAGACTTAGTGTTGCATTTTGAAAGAAAAGCAGCACTACTGACCACTGGGCTAACATCTAAAGAACAGTCGGTATAATTTAATGATAGCTTTTGAGCTGTGCCTTAAGAATGAGAGGTTTCCCTTCATGACCATGTCACACGAAACATCTGACCCCATGAAAGATGCATTGTTGGGTCCTGGTAAGAAAACAGTGTTCCCTTTCGCATCAGGTATCTCATTAAGTCATATTTTCCCCCCCTCCCCGAACACACCCCCAATAGTTTTTCATCTTAGTGTTGTAGACCTCTCACAGGGTACTTCCTGGTTAACATACAAGGAAACGATCCTCTTTGTGTCTGCACTCACAATGAATGACTCTTGTGTTCCCCAGAGCTTTGAGAATTCTGACTGCTGATTGTCACCACATGACTTCTTCTGAACTATCTCCATATATTTCCTTCTCTGAAGTTACCGTATTATATGTACCATTTATATTAGCAGAACTAAAAAGATGGATAAGTAGTTTCTTCGAAATCTAAAGCTCTGACTCACATCAAAGAAGATTCTCAAACATGAAAGTGGGCGAGCCATCAGCGAGGCCCCGACAGCCAGAGAGCTGGTAACCAAGTGTCACTGTGTCTGAGGGTCTGAGAGGGGCCTCTGGGTACTGCTTACATAAGCCTCAGCTGCACCCTGAATGTTTTCCCTCCCTTTGACCAATTAATTCATCCTTCATGAAAATCTCCTAAGGAAATAACCTGACATGGTAGTGATAATTTTATGTCCATCACCAGGTGGTTGGAACCCTTGGAAAATTAGAAACAGCCTGATTCTCTTTCTGGTCTTTTTTCCAAGGGATCAATTATGGGCTTGTTGTGAGTGTAATAAGAAAAACCTCTGAATATATTTTCCTAGATGCTTTTTAATATTGCGGCTCCCAAATGCCACAGGAAGAAGAATGCCCTCCTGGGATTTTGTTCTTTGGTCTCATATTTGAGGCTCCAGTCCTCCCCTTGTGTCTCCCCTACAGCCCCTTGGCCATGCATTGAAGATATGGGTGGGGTGAATCTCAGCACTCAGGAGGCAGAGGCAGGTGGATCTCTGAGTTCAAGGCCAGCCCGGGCTACATACCAAGTTCCCAGAACAGCCAGGACTACATAAAGAGACCCTGTCTCAAAAAAAAAACAAAAAAACAAAAAACAAACAAACAAACAAAAAAAAAAACTACAACCCTCAAAAAGTAAAAGAAATGTAAGAAGAGAGTGGATTCTATTAAAAGGTCCCAATGATTACATAAGCAAAAGAAGAAAAGAAAGAAAGAACATGAAAGAGAAGTGTTTTTTTTTTTTTTTGTTAACAATCCCCTTTGAATAGCTGTCTCCCTTACCACTGTCCTGTGTTTTCCAGATTTGTACTCATCTTGCTTGTTATCTTGTCACTTATCATGCCTTCATTCAGTCTTTCTTAAATTGTTTAAATGTCCTTTTCAACTAAGATTTAATTTTCCAACCTAAATATCTTGGGATTCTGCCTTTTCTTATTTTTGTCTAATAGTGGCTTTTTCCTTCAGCAGGCATGAAAGCAGTCAATAAAAGTCAATTGCTGACTCTATGATTATATGAAGGGTTTCTCATAATGCATATTGGAAATGTCTTTGAAGCCCTTTTCCTGAATGGAAGGTGCCATGGCTTGTGCTTTATGGCCTTCTAATGTTGGACGGTAATCTCATTTAGCATCTTCCAGAGTGAAAACAGTGCATTAGGACAGCATAACGTGCCCTGCAGATCAATACAGAAGCAGATCTGTGCCATTCAGATGAGTCCAAGAGAAATGGATCCGAGTCAGTGGAGGAACTGGGGGCCAATTATGCTGATTTCCACTGTTCTTCCCCCACTCTGCATCTAGTCATCAATACAGGTTAAAATGTATACAAAAAGTATTTCAGATGATGGCCACACAGAGAACAGACTACCAGACAGGAAATCAAGGGCTTGGAAGCGAGTACTAGTATTGATTTGTGGTGATAAAAGTATATTTTGATACACTTCAAACCGTAAATAACTTGTGGACTTGAACCTGCATGACTGAGTGCTCAGCTCAGGGTCAGTGCTTATGACTTGCATTGCTGCTTTCTAAAGAGGGAGTGGCATTAATGAACTGCCTATTGCAATGGCCTTGAGAAAAATATAGACATGTGTGTGTAAACATATACAGTGTGTGAGTGTGTTTGCTACCTGTCTGTTACTGGTGAAGGGCCATGGGTCTGCTCAGGCCTGTATTTGTTCCCCACCACCTTTCTGCCCCTAGACTTGATCTTCTGTCAGCACTGGGACAGAAGACCAATAGCTCAGCTCTCTGTGTGAGTCCTCAGCATTGTTGGCCTTATATTTGCAGCATTCAGCTGACTTGACGCGTAGTCATACTGTATTCATCATATACCTAGACCCGAGACTTACTGTCATCACTTGGTCAATGGTTTTCTGAGGCTGTCTTCTGGAAGCACAGCTGACTCCTTTTTGATGCTGCTGTTCATTTGTCGGGGATTAGGGAAGCTCAGGTCCAGAAAAATCCATGGATGCCCAGAGCATCAAAAGCTTAAAAGAATCAAAACCCCTGGAGTTGGACTTAAAATCTGTTCTCAGGTATTAGACAAAGTAGTAAAGTACTGAATGAAAAAGTAAACAGTGTTAGGTAAAATCTATGGATCATTTTCCCCTGTACATCTACTTCCTTTCTGGGGTAGTGGGAAGAAGATTCCCTCAAGGACAGTCAAATGGTTTGCATTTCCACTCCAGCAAAACATACATTAGCTTATCGTGTTGGGTAAAAGTAATGAGGAAACGAACTGTCACCCAAGGGTTTCCTTATTGATGGGAAATATCCCCCTGTGTTCTCTGGGGCTTTTGTGTTTAGAACCCATTAAACTTAAAGTAATGCTACTTCAGGGATGTATGAATAACACATTTAAATTTCAGACAGAACTGATAAGACTGGAAGCATTTTTTTATTAAACAAACTAATTTTAAAAAATACAAATTCCTAGATTAATGATTGTTTTGCATATTTTCGCTCTCTGTGGTTAGTCTATAACTCAAGTTCTCCTGTCATACAAACAAGAATATTTTCTGTTTGTATAATTCATTTGGCTTATTATTTTCAAGTGTGTATTATAAGCTTTGTGGAAACAATTATGTTTGGCATGGCATGTTCACTGAGAGCAATCCAACTAAAATCTGAGACTTATAAATATAATAGTGAAAATTTAACCTGGAGGACTTTTAGATGTTTACCCATTTTTATTCATTCAACAAGCTTATTGTATGGCTTCTATAAAAAGTATCCTCATTGAATAGTGAATGTCACAAAGAAAACAAACATAGTTCCTTGGAATTTACATTCTGGTAAATGTAGGCTGGTGGATTGCACTCAATTATTGTATAGTCCATGGCATGGGCAGAGTGAAAGCGTGGACTGTGTGGGAGCAGAAAACTATTGAGAGTTCTTCAAAGCAGGTTACACAGTTAGGCATTGAAAGATGAGTAGATAGTTTTCAGTTACTTTTGCAAGGGTGAGAATTTGGGTGCTAAGCATCTCCCAGCTCACAAGCAGTTTGTGACCACAGATGTGAGACCTGACACTGGACCCTGAGCATAATTCACCCAGGCTGCAGCCAGGTACAGGGTCCAACAAGGGCTAAAGGCAGGCAGGAGCCTGATCAGTGTCTGCTAGCCTTGTACGTCATTAAAGAAGCAATAGAGAGCGGCTTGATGGATTACAAAGTACCCTCTGGGTGACCTGTGGAGAGAGCCGGGGCTGTAGACACAAAGACCAGAGGTCATTGCTTGGATCTGGGAAGTGTAAATACTTGGGATTTCTATACTAACAGTGAGTATGGAAGACCATAGTGCAGGGGCCAGAGCTTCATGACCTGCTGGCTGTGGTATGCCAGAGAGAAGTGAGGCCTGGCAGATTTCTGACTTGCCAGACAAGGCTGTAGAGCAAGAGCAGTGGTGTCATTTTCAGGACTAGGCTTGTGTATTTTATTTAGTCTTTAACCTTGACCCTTACAGTGACTGAGGATGCCTTGTCTCAGTTATCTTTGTTTTATTTTCAGACGGTATGAATATCATCCAGTCTGTGCAGATCTACAGACCAAAATCCTCCAGTGTTACCGCCAGAACACCCAGCAGACCCTCAGCTGCTCCGCTCTGGCCAGCCAGTACATGCACTGTGTCAACCATGCCAAACAGGTGGGTGTGTGTGCTGACTGGACATTTGGAAAATAGAAAGCCCAGTTGTCACTGGACAGTGGTGAGGACCTAACATGTGGGAAAGCTTTCTAAACTCAGCTGGTCCTCATCAAGAATGTCTGTAATCAGTTGGTTAGCTCATAAGTTCTGTCTAGTTCACTATCAGAAGAGTCCAGATTCTAGCCAGGCCTAGTGGTTCAGGCATGTGATCCTAGCTACTGGAGCCTGGGGCAGGAGAACCTCATATTCAAGGACAGCCTGGACAACTTCATGAGAGCCTCTCTCAAAGTAAAAAGTAAAAGAAGAGTGTAAGTGCTTGCCTGACATGCTCAAGTCCTGGGTTCGAGACCCTGTGCCAGAAGAAAGAGTTAATCGCTCCTAAATTCTCTCTGTGCAGGAAAAAAAATGTATTAAAAATATACTTTATTGCTCCGAACCTTGCATCTTCTAATGATTCCAGTGGTTATATCCTCATGGTTAGTACCTCCCATTCCTAAGGCACTATTCAAAGCCAGCAAGGAAAAAGGGTATAAATTAAGGAGCTAGAAAACATGCAGACTATAAGTAGTAGGAGGTCTAGCAAAAATAAAAGAAACCCATCCTTCAGTCACTAATCGTCCCCCAACAGTTGGTAGAGCCCTTTAGAGCAGTGTCTTAGTTAGGGTTTCTCTTGCTGTGAAGAGACACCATGACCACAGGAAATCTTACAAAGGAAAACATTTAACTGGGGCTAACTTACAGTTTCAGAAGTTTAGTCCATTATCATCATGGCAGGACATGGCAGGTGCAGGCAGACATGTGTTGCTGGAGGGCTTCTCTCCAGGTTCCCCAAGCCCCGCAGTCCCACAATCCACGTATAAAATAATCACTCAGACACTTATATCACTTATAAACTGTATGGCCGTGGCAGGCTTCTTGCTAACTGTTCTTTTATCTTAAATTAACCCATTTTTATAAATCTATACCTTGCCACGTGGCTGGTGGCTTACCAGCGTCTTCACATGCTGCTTGTCCTGGCGGTGGCTGTAGTGTCTCTCCTCCTTCTTCCTGTTTCCCCAATTCTCCTCTCTCTTTGTCCTGCCTATACTTCCTGCCTGGTCACTGGCCATCAGTGTTTTATTTATATAGAGTGGTATCCACAGCAGACATGGTGCTGGAGACAGATGTGAGAGTTGTACATCTTGATCCATAGGCAGCAGAAGGAGTCTGTGACACTGGGCATAAGTTGAGCATGTAAGACATCAAAGCTCACCCCCACAGTAACACACTCCAACAAGGCCACACTTACTCCAGCTAAGCCACACCTCCTAATAGTGCCACTCCCTATGAGGGCCATTTTCTTTTAAACCACCACAAGCCAGAACATACACACTCACACACCTGAGTCATATTAGGAAAGGATCTCCCTCTTTTCATATGCTTCATGATCCTTCATAACTGCATAATATGACACTCATAAGATGCATAGTTTCTCTTAATTTATGTGCTTTAGAAAGTTAATGATATCCATACAGCAAATTAACAATTTCAACAGGTCACATAATTGCTTTATAGTTGGGTGCATGTGGTTTGGAGAGACATAAATTGTTGGAAACTTTTGTTCTTTCTTCTGACAAACTCCCTAGAATTGATCTTTTCACCCATCTAAATCTAGTGTTTGAGTTACACAGCATGCCTTCTTACAGCCCAATTTGCTCCAGTTATAATATACCACTTAATGTAAATTTCCAACAGTCCATAAATATCTGAAGGGAGGGTTGCTGTTGTCTAACATTAAGTGGGAAAAATGTAATCAAGATTTAAAAGCCCGTGTTGTCTTAAAACTCATTGTGGTTTGCTTTTGTCTGTTACTTGCTTGTATCGGTACTTGCATAACTGAGTATATGCCGGGATTCTTTTCCTTACAGGTCTTGCTAGAGGTAATGCTGCTGATTTTAAGTTAGTGCTTGTTATTTGTCACAAACAGCCTCTGATGAGCTCTTAAGTCCCCGACCTTCAATAGCAATACTACCTGAGCACTTGGGACTTATAGGTTGACTACCTGAGCACTTGGGACTTATAGGTTGACTACCTGAGCACTTGGGACTTACAGGTTGACGCATAAATTTTTCTAATCTGATAATCGAGGCTTGTGGAGGTGGGACGGAGTCATCGATAGAAAAGGCGGCTGTGTCAAAGTGCATGTTTTAAGACTGGGGTCTAACACATGTGCCTATTTCCACAGTGTGCTTTCTGGTACTGCTGAAGTGGCAATACCACGTGCCTTGGAGCATTGGCTCCACCCTTGACTGGTGAGATCTTGTTGAATCATACTTAGTCCTGTGGTGTCATTGGGTCCTATTTATGAAATTAAAAAACAAAACAACAAAAAACTCAATGTGCAGCCAGATAATACATGGCACACAGTGCAGTCGAGGGGAGAGTCTGGTGGGTCTGGGTTTGTCACCACATCCTGTCTCTTACTAGATCCTGGCCTTGGGCTTTGATTTCAGTGAACTGGGTCATTTTTGTGATGGCTTCACTTGTGCAGAATACTCAGTCCACCTTCATTTTTCCCGGGTTCAGGATCATCAAGTGGAAAAATCATGAAATGATAGTAGTGATTGAAAAAGAGACCCACCTTCCTTCCCATTCACTTCCCAGCCTGCCATGTGGTTTATTACTTGCAGCTAGTCTGATTAGAGTATCTAGCATTTCACAACTCTATGTTCAGTTATTTGGAAGTAGATGGTAGCTGAGTAATACCAAAAAGATGAAAATCTTGCCGTAGGTTGAACAGCACTGGAATAGCTAAGAACCGTGAAACACAGACCCTTTCATTTCTTCAGGCTTTAGGATTGCAAGGTCACTTCAACATCTACTCTTACATGTTTTTTATGACACTCTGAGATGCAAATAGAAATGGTTTCTTTTACCATTTTGCAATTGAGAGTATTGAAACCCAGGGATGTCATGATGGTAAATTTAACAACTAGTTCAAGATGTACCCTGCCATGAAAACAAAACAAGACAAAAATTTTCAAGTGATATTTGTTTTTGGAGCAGGTGAGTTTAAGAAGAGACATCTGTCATCCACAAATACAAGTTGAGACAGTGAGGGAAAATGAAAACAGTAATGGCTGCTGAAACGGTACACATAGGACGTGAGGTGATAGTGCCCATGATCAAAGAGGCCACTTGGCCTGCTCCCTGAAAGGCCATACCATGTTGGCGGCAGGGACCTGGTATCTGTATCACTGGCAGCTGTCCTCCTCTAGTACAAGGCTGCCCTTCTGCTCCCTGTGAAGAAAATCTCACCTCGAGATCCCAGTTCTGCTCTCCTTGTTAAAAGTTTATCCGTACACAGTATGCTCACTGCCTAGTCTAGCAGTTCCAGGTGGGCCCTCTCCCTTCTCCTAGCCTTACTGGACAGGAACAGGACAGCAGCCATTAAGTCTCATTCCATTTCCGACACTGTACAAGGGTTTCCCATGTGGAATCATTACAATAGTCCACTCCACTTTTACATGACTCATAAGGTTGAGCTTTCACAGGTCCCTGGGGTGCTGTTGGAAAGACTAATAGATTTTACTGGTAGGAAATTTTTTTCCGGACGTTCCTTAGCCTTGCTTTTCCTTTCTTCCCATTCCTCCACTCTCTGACATTAATCTTCAGCTATTCTTAAACAGTTCATTGTGGTTTGACGGGAGACGTTTAGACTTATTGTCAGTGTATTAAGTTATGTATTCTTTATGAGGGTAAAAAAGACACTAAATTGTTCTAATATTATTTCTAAGTTGTAAAAGCTATTGGCTAGCTATTTAAGTACAGCATTTAAAATGGAGCATCAGTTGACATAGACTTGTGTCTCCCCCATACCTGCTTAACCTGCTAACTTTCTAAGCTTCCCAATATTGAATTACCCCTTCTTGTCATTAAAGCCTGGTTCCCATTTAGTCTTGCTACATCTGACTTATATGGGACTTTGTAAACAGGGAGAAGAATAAAAGTCCAGGAGTAAATAATATAAAATGTCCCCAATATCTTTTTTCTTTTTCCATCTTTTTTTTTTTTTTAAGATGGTCCTCTGTGTGTGTATCCCTAGCTGGCCCCAAATTCACCATGTGGACCAGACTGCCCTCAGACTCACAGAGATCTGTCTGCCTCTGTGTGCTGGGATTAAAGGGGTACAGGACCATGCCTGGCACTCCAACTTCTATTTTGGGGGTGGGAGTTGTTTGTTTGTTTTGAGACAGGGTTTCTCTGTGTGGAAGCCCACGCTGTCTTGGGACTCACTTTGTAAACCAGGCTGGCCTTGAACTCACAGAGATCGGCCTGCCTCTGCCTCTGCCTCTGCTGGGATTAAAGATGTACACCACCACCGCCCGGCTTCAACTTCTAATTTTTAAAGTGAAGGAGGGCTGGCTTATAGATCAGCATTATGTTCCCTGTGGCATCTCGCTGCCTTAACATCCACCTACAGTGCTGTAAGCAGGAATTCTAAGCACTTGAGCATTTTCTCAGCCCTGTTGCTAGTCACAAAAAAGCAAAAACACTAACGTGATTCTCCTGGAACAGTCCGTGTTCACCTGATGGTAGGGATAGTGGATAGTGCTTTCTTTGCCCCTGTTCCAGATTGTTCATGGTGACTAGTACTTAATTTTTTTTTTCTTGCTGAACTGAGGGCTGGAAGCTCTATCTGCAAGAGCTGATTCTGCATTCATGCTGGAGAGCAAGAGGTAGATACAGGCTCAGGAGGCATGTCTATTTAGTAGTAGCATCTTCATTTTGTGGTTTCTAGGTTTTCTAGGTTTTAGTGCCTTTGCCTCCTAGAATTTGCTGTCAGCTGCCCTTGTGACTAGTCTGCTGCTGTGTGGCCTCATGTTTACATTCCTGACAGTCAAGGTGATCCTATGACCAGAGAGGCTAGAAACAGTTCAGTTTCTCCAGAGGCAGTAAAGGGAGAACCAGCTATCCCCAAGCTGCCTGCCAAAGCATAGCCTGCCAGCTAAGAAACTCCA